GGAGGGAGGGGATAAATGCTGTATCAGAGGAGGAAACTTTATCTGGAAATGAAGATTAAGGATTTACAGACAGCAAAGCCAAAAGAAGAAGCCAAGTTAAACCAGGACACAAGGATGCTGCTCATCTACTCTCTGAACACTTGCTATGAGCCAAAGTTAAGTGCAGGGCTTATGGCTGTACTATCAGTCCTCCATACATGCAGGTCTATGTCTATGTGTTCAGCCAATGACAGCTAAACAAAATTGTCCTGAACACAACTCTTCTTGTCATTATTTCTTTAAAAAATACAATATAACAATGGTTTATAGGATATTTACATTGTGCTGGGTATTGTAAGTAATGTGGAGATCATGTATAATACATAGGACAGATGTAGGTTATTTGCAAATCTTAACTCTTTTTACCAAAGGGACTTGAATAAAGGTAGACTGTGGTACCTACAGGGTCCTAGAACTAATGACCTGCAAACACTACAGGGTGTACAAAACATCTGCAAATGATAACAGAGGCAGACACTGATCATTTCTTTTCTGCAGCACTGGTCACCTGAGATAGTTACTCAGCTACCCCATCACTGCTCACAGACCACCACCTTAACACATTCCCTTTAATTTTCATCTTCGTATTTATCAGGGCCTAACACTGTATCACATACATTGTAGTACATACTTGTTTAATTGCCTCTCTGCTATGACAAAACGTAAATTTCAAGAGATAAGAATTATTTCTTTTGTACACTGATAAATTCTTAGTGCCATAACAATGCTTGGCATATAATAATTATTTCAGTATTTCATATTTTATTTTACTATTTTAGAATTTTATTTATTTTTGAGACATGGTCTCACTGTGTACCACAGGCTGGCCTTGAACTCTCAATCCTCCTGACTCAGCTTCCCAAGGACTGAGATGAGAGGCACTCATCACCACACCCAATGAAAGATCACCACTGTTTTATAAACATTTTAGTAACAGATGTATTCATGCACTGTAAACATTATGTTAAAAAGTGGGGGAATGAATGCTTATTTTGAGTAAGTTAAAGGAATAACAGAATTCAGAGAAGCCTAGGTTAATATAGACACAGATATATGTTCTAGCAAACAAATTTTTGACCACAGTGACCAATGACAAGAAAAAAGTTCCTTTCTATTCTCGATGCTTAAATTAGCTTAAAAACTACTGAGGGTTAACCTTGCACTGTTATCTAATCTTAAACCATGCATTTCATCCTCTCACATCAGAGTTAAGACCAAGGATTTCCTCCTACAAGGCAAATCACACCCCAACATTTTTCTTGAATTTCAGGGTGATTTTTTAAAAAGTGATCTCACAACAGGAAAATGGAAATGAGTAAAATTATCCTAGGTTCCAAACCCAGCACTTGGAGGAAAAAAAAGTTAAGGAATATTTCCCAGACTGGTGAAAGCTGGTTGTTGGACCCAAAGGGCCCACTACATGCAAGAGAAATAAAATACATGAGATTACTCAGGAAAAAAAGGTACCAGAGAAAAACAAATTACCTACCAAATGTGGTGGCACATGCATTTAATCCCAGCACTCTGGAGGCAGAGGCAGGCTAATCCCTTGAGTTCCAGCACTCTGAACAGAGGCAGAGGCAGGTGGATCATTGTGAGTTGAGGCCAGCCGGGTCTATATAGGGAGTTCCAGGACAGCGGGGGCTACAGGGAGACCCTGTCTCACAAAAAAAAAAAAAAAAAAAAACCCACAATAAATAATTTAATTGATTAACTGGATAACTGAAAATAAGATGCAATGTCTTGAAAGTATATATAAAAAAAAAGTGATCTCAGATGCTCCCTCCAACATATCTCTTCAGTATACACCAGTGCCCAACAGAAAGCTATCAGACTACAGGGTTTTACTTTCTACAAACACTTGTATAACATTGAAGGGCTCAGACATCTCACAGTCGTACATTTAGATACAGCTGATTATATGACTATTTTTTATTTCATATAACTCAGTGGATTAATCCAACTCATTACTTACAAGATCAATAAGACTTTCCTGTATTCTGTTTAGAGTTGTTCTCAGTCTACTACTACTAAGGCCAAGTCCAGTTGATTCCAGCTGAAAACAAACAAAGGCAAGTTACATCGCTGTGGACGTGCTCTTGAAGATCCCCGTCTCCAAACCACCTAAAGTATTCAACAGGCCTAACTCAGATGGTTCACTTCAGAGGGTTTCCAAACTGCACTTAGAAATCCTAATGCATCAAGCAAAACAGTTAAATCTGAGGCCAAAGGGAACTAAAAATTATCCATGGGCACATGCAGATCACAGTAACATCCACCAGTTTTATGAATTATGAGGACAGAGTTCATCAGAATGTCTTTCCCACAAGTTGATTTTTAAGTTATAAAAATCAGGATTTTAGAGACTTAATAGTGGCTCACTCTGCTATACATATCTACTGTGTTTATGTAGAAGTAAAAATGGAGTGCTGCTATTATTTTCTTATATAAATTAAGATGCCTATCTTTACCCTAAAGTGAAAATTTCCCTTGGGCCTACAAACACTTCACAGCACTGATTGCTATTCATTACAAAAAAGTCGAAGTATTTACATAAAAATCTTCCTATAGCATACACGAGAAGGCTTCACTGTTAAAGCATGAAAAGCCAGTCAGCTCCTGGTATGATTCAACTGTGGAAAATAAATGTAAGTGAGAGGTAACACTAGATTCAAACAGGCATTTGGGAAAAGAGTAAACTATTCCCTATGACCCAATGGATTAAAAGCATTATTAATAAACTATAAAATATAGAATCTCATTAACAGTCATGGAAATGATGTGTGATTATGTGAACAGATAGACATGTAAGCATGCACACATTTATTGTCACTCTTCTCCCATCTGAGATGCAAGAGTGAAGTGCACGCTAAAGCAGCTATACTATGACACTGTGAGGTGAAGCATGAACTAACTTATTTCTCCAGGTTATGTACACTCAATTAATTCATCTCTCCCCTTTTCTTATTTATATACAAACTTATCTAAGTATGTGAAATTTGGTAACTGTATATGATCTTGCAGCCAACACCACAATCAAGATACAGAATTCTTTCCCTCTCAAGGCTGGAGAGATGCCTCACCAGTTAAGAGCACTGTCTGCTTTTGCAAAAGACCCGAGTTTAAATCCTAGCATCCACGTAGCGGCTAAAAACCGTAACTCCCGTTTCAGGGGATTTAACGCCCTCTTCTGTCCTCCATGGGCACTACATAGCACGAGTTTACTTACATATATGTAGGCATAACACTCATACATATAAAATAAAAATTAAAAGAAATAAAGAATTCTTTCCTTCTCAAAAATGCCCCCATGTCCTATGCACTTATTCCCTCCCCATCCTTAATCTCTGATCTTCTATTACTGTGGCTTTTATTTTCCTAAAATTTTATGACTAGAATCACACTGGATATTATCTTTAATGTTGACTTTATTTAGCATGCTTTTAAGATTCGTCTGTGTTTTGAGTCTTAGTATTTTGTGCCTTTTTGTTGTTTAATTCCATTTGACAGGATAGGCATAAGACAACAGTTTCCTTACTCTACAGTAACTACACATTTGAGTTCCAGTTTTGGATATTTTTACATTGCCACCACAAGCATTTAGGTTTATGTCTTTGGCCATTACATTTTATTTTCCTTTTCTTCAGTAAGTATCTAAAAGTAGAATTTCTAGTTCACATGGTAAATACATACTTTATAAGCTACCTCCATAATGTTTTCTAAAGTGGCATGCCCTTTAAACTTCTATAAGCAATGCATGTAAATGCTGGTCGTTCCATGTCACAGACTGAATGTTTCTGTCTCCCACCTTATGAGTATGGGTACTATCTATCAGTTTGTACATTTTATAAGAACAGGTTTTTGGCTTCATAGACTTCTTTCCTATTACTTTCAATTTCCTTGATCTATCTTTACTATTTCTTTCCTTCTGCTCTTTGGGTTTAATTTGCACCTTTTTTTTTTTTTTTTTTAGTTTCTAAGGTAGGAAGATCGATCAATTTGAGACTTTCTGCTAGTGGAATTTAAAGCTAGATACTTCCCTCAAAGCCTTGGCTTAAGTTGCACCCCACAACTTTCAATATGTTATGCTTTTATCATCCTTCAGTTGAAAATATTCTCAATTTTTTCTTCTGATTTCTTCTTTGAAGTATATCATTTGATTTTCACAAATTTATGGTTTCCTAATTATTTGTTAATTTCTAATGTAATTGTACTGTCATAAGACAATACCCTGTATACTATTCAGTCTTTAAAAATAATCAGAATAAAATCCACCCTGATTGGATTTACTGTTCCACATATATTGATTATGTCAGAATGGTTGACAATATTAAAATCTTTTAAATATTTGTTGATCTCTTATTTCTATTATTACTTATTATGTGATGTTAAAATCTCAAACTATGATCAGTTTTCTTCTGGTCTTGAATTCTTTTAATTACTGTTTTAATAATTTTGAAGTGCTATTACTAGACACATCATATTTATATCAGCATATTTCCACTAAGGTGATCCTGATTATCAAGGGGAGGTATAGTTTCTATCCCTAGGAATACATTTTATTTGCTACCTATTTTATCTAATGTTAATATAACCACTGGAACTTTCTTATACTTAATGTTTTAATGTTTATATGGCATTCTCTTTTTCTAGCCCCTTTGACCTGTGTGTGTTTAAAGCATGCTTTTTATGTGTTGGCTTTGTTTCTAATCCATCTGATCTTTGCCTTTGAGAAGAGTCCAGTCCATTAACTTTAATTTCTTTACACACTTTTTAATTTCTTATTTTATGTGTATAAGTGTTTTGCCTACATGTATGTAAGTACACCTGCAACCATGCAATGTCCATAGAGGCCAGAAGAGGAGTCGGATTCCCTGGAACTAGAGTTGTTAGCTGCCATGTGGGTGCTGAGAACAGAACCCTGGTCAGCCAGTGCTTTTAACCACTGAGCCAGCTCTTGGGTACTTTGTTAACTTTTAATGTAATTATTACATAGAAAAGGAAAAACAAAACAAAACAAAAACACTTCTGTTGACTGTGCTCCTGGAGCTCTTTATTCTTTTCTAAAGATCCAAGATTTCATCTGACCTCATTTCCTTTACTCTGAACACTTCTGAAAGATGATTAAGAGTCTTGCTGTGCTCTATGAACAAAATTCTACTTTTTATGTGTCTGCTGTGAAAAACTCTGGTTTTTAATATCATCTATAAACACAGTAATTTAATCTCCATGCACAAATGGTGGTTTGGGATATAAAGTTATTAATGTACAGTTATTCTTTTCTTTCAGTATCTTCAAGGTATGTTTGACTCTCTTCTATCTCCCAGTTTCTCATACACATCAGCTGTTAAATCTTCATGCTCTCTGTGTAAGAAGCCTGCTTTTCTTTTCATGCTACAGTTCACCATGAGCTACACTCATGTACATTTCCTGTGCTTATTCCACTCATTGTATGTCTATACTAAGCATCTTGAATCTCCAGACTGTTTGCCAATGCTTTTTCAAATATTTTTCTGTCTCAACATCTTGCTGTTTCTTCTCCACTGGCTATTCCTAATATAGGTATATTTAACTATTTGAAATAATCTAATAAATCTAAGATCATTCTTATTATCCATCATTTTCCCTATGTTCTTTATTCTGAATAACTTGAGAAGTTCATATATTCTTTCCTCCATTTGTTAAGTATACTGGGTGAGTGTCTTGCAGTTTCCAATTTGGGTATGTTGCTCTGATCTTTTATTTCTGCCAATACTAGAGCTTCCCTATTTCTCTCCTGAGATGTTCATACACTTAAACACATTGTTTTACTTCACTGAAGAGAGCCAAAATTTCACTTCATTGAGGATAATCCTTCAAAAATCCTTATCGCTTAGTTTTAATATCTTAGAATTGGGACTAGAATGATGTGGGGTTTTTTTTCTTTTCATTTATGTATTCAACTTTTTTTTTTGTTTCTGTATACGCTGAGTAAAAATAGATTATATTAACAATTAGATTCTGGACTTGGTTATTTTTATCCTGTAAATTTGTATTGCAAAATTCCTTGGATAGCACTGGTCTAGAGGCAGTCTGGAAGACAGAGTAAGAGTAAGGCTCTTCTAGTGGACTGAAGGCTTGACAGCTAAAACTCAACAATGTATCGCTCTCTTAATACATATGTAGCAAATGTCTAGATTCTTTTTAGAAAATCTTTTATCTAACTTTTTACATTAAAAATTTTATTTTGCCGGGCATGGTGCCGTGCACCTTTAATCCCAGAACTCGGGAGGCAGAGGCAGGCAGATCTCTGTGAGTTCAAGGTCAGCCTGGTCTACATAGTGAGTTCCACGACAGCTGGGGCTACAGGGAGACCTTGTCTCAAAAAGACCAAAAAAATATATATTTTTTAATTTTATGTATATGTGTCTGAGTGTTTGCAATGTGTGTGTAGGTGCCTACTGAGGCCAGAAGAAGGTGTTGGATTCCATAAAACTGGAGTTACAAGTGGTTGTGAGCTGATCAACATGAGTGCTGGGAACCAAACAGGGGTCTTCTGGAACAGCAGGAAACACCCTTAACTGTTGAGTCATCTCTAGCCCCAACTTTCTAAATTCCAAGTAATGTTTAGTACACACTTTAAAGTAACAAATTCTGGGGCAATACTCTGTCTCTGATTATATTAGCATTCTTTCCAAGGAACACTGTACAGAATTAGGAACATGAGCATTCAGAGCCTCTAAAAGATCATGTCTTTGATATACTTGTGATCACAGAAAGGACAGGAATATTCATAGAAAGAATGCAGCCATTTAAGCTTGCATGTTTTCAAAATTGAAACAGAGCATTAGAAAAGTTATTACTATGACATATTCCTATGAACCAGCAGTACGCTCTAACATAAAAAACTTTAAAAAATGTAGGCAAGCCATGTAATAATTTCCAACCATGAGAGTCTTTACCTGACAAATATGGTGACAGTCTCCATTAAAAAAATAAACTCAGTAAAAGCTTTTTCCAGAAACACGAAAAGGAGATATAGGACACATGAGGTACAGGAAACATGATCTGCGGCCTGCAGATGTTTCAGTTAAAGAAATCAATTATTTGTCAGTATCTACTAAGGTTGTTAGCCACTGTTTAAAATCAATTACTATGCACCAATTATATATAGATTCAGGTTTAAATAAAGAAACCTATACATTTTTCCTTGCCAAAATAAGTCAAGGTTAGGAAAATACCTGCTTCACTTTTTCTGCCAAAGATCTATACAATATTCAATCTGCTTATCATGTCAAATCTTAAATACACAGACAAAGCCACAAGGCACACATCTGATAACAATTTTCTATTTGATGGGTGATTCACCAAATAATGTTACCTACTTACACAGAATGAAAACCTTTATATTTTAGAAAATACATTTTAGGAGATTTTTCTCTCCAGAAGTTGACTTACAGAATCATTCCGACCAAAAAAGGTGTATACTGCATATAAGTAGTAATCGAATAGCTGAGACATGAAATGGATAACATCAAAGGCTATTGGCTTAAGAATGTTCATCATCTGCATATATTTTCCTGAAAGAAATAAAAAAATCAAAAATTAGAACAAACTGAAATCCTGTTAGTCTTCCATTGCTGAAAGGCACTCCTCAGTCACAGCAGCCATGTTCCTAGTACTTGGTAAAAACTAAAACCAGTTCCAACACCTCACAAAGTTCTACTGGGTAGCACTATGCATGATTCCTACTAAGATGCTTTCTGCTTGTTATAAGGCCCTACTTGACAAATTCTTATAGAACGCCTACACTCTTCTGTAAGTAATACTGTATAAACACACAATCCTCATTCTAGGAGAAAATTAAAATAATTTCTTTAAAAATATTTAGCTGTAATAAAATACAACATACTTGAGAAAAAGTTAAGATTGGTTTACATAAGATCAATACACATAGCAAAACTTAACTGAGTAAATTGAGCAAGAGAAAATTACCCAAGGAAAGCAACATCCAGGCCTTTCAACATTAGCCCCGTGAGATCTTCTGTCAAAGGCCAAAAACATTTATCACTACATCACACACTCATAAGTTCAATGCCTTCAAAGTGCCAATAACATATGCTTTTCATTCCTTCCTTTGAGAGAACCCAATATTCCCTGTTCCTCTAAACATATGATCAGATTGAGTATATCCCTCCCACCCCTCAATTATCTCCTAGTCTAGGTGCCCTGAACTAGGAGAGTGGCAGTAGGAAATTCTTCTCTAGGGTCTATGACACCTTCAACCACGTGTACTTGGCTATGTTTACAGAACCATGTATGGACTGATTCCCTACCACTGAACGCGCCTTACATCCGATTAGACAGCTGATGATTACCCCCAAGACAAAAGTGCCACTATCTTATCTAAAGGAATATTGACAACTGATTGCTGCTAGATGAGGAACAGCTGACTCTCCTAAAACAAAGACCTCTAGATAGGCTGACTAGATTCACCAGATGGACAAGTAGTGGGGAATGGCTGGGGGGTACCGGCAACACAGCAGACAGTAGCAGGGATATCAGAGTATAAGGGCTCTAGTTGGGGGAGGGAGGCTATGGAAGGGTGCCATCTGGGAAGTAGGTGTATAGCTGAATAAGATGGTTTGGGATGTACTGTGTGATACACACACACACACACACACAAAATCAACAAATTTTTTAAAATGTATTATATTTGAGGAGGAAGCATGGAAATTTACATCATGCTTACACTGACTGGTTTTCTTCCTTAGTAGCTTACATAGTACCTTCTGATGGGTACTACTATGGGAGGTAGTCTTCATGAAGGAGGCTTTCAGGTCAGTTCCAGCTCAATGACTTCAAGTCCTTATCCAAAGTATGTTCTGTCTTCAGCAATAGGGCCTTACCTTCAAGTTCTGGGAGGCAACCAAGGACTATGGTGATAGACTATATCCTAGACCAATATAATTTCTTACTATAAATAAGTATCCTTACATTCAAAGACACTCACTACTCATCAAAAAAGCATCATTCTGTAAAAGATGGAGACTATTACAAAGTTTCACAACTGGTGAAAATGAAGAGAATAAGTGACTATGGGGTGACCAGTCCTAACCAACTCATCTATAACACAATCTCTATACCTAAGGCTTAGAGAATGTGGCAGAGGAGGGGAAATAAAGATTGTAAGAGCCAGAGGAACATGACACCTACACTAGATAATGCATTCCAGTCATGGTAGGGAAGCTGCACCCATGAAATCGCCACAGTATGGGAGTCTAGCAAGATCTGCATAATGACAAAACCAGTTGATATGCCAATGTGGATAGGGGAAATTTCACAGGGTTCCAGCTCTAGATGAAGAATTATAGGCAATCAATGGATACTGAGGGACGGGGAATCAGTTTTCTCCAGGACCTAGCTGGCTGATAAGTTATCTAACCTCAAGTGGCCAGGCTAAACAAATGTATACAACATGTGCACCACTAAATGAATTCAATGCACACACACACACACACACACACACACACACACACACTTTGAAACATACACATGTATATGTAACAATAATAATCACAAAGACAAGAAATTGAAGGGACATGGCAGGAGTTGGAGGTCAGACTGGGAGAGGTGAAAATGATGTATATACAATACTCACATATGAAATTCTCAAAAAATAAAAATGTATTCAAAATAATTTTTTAAAAAACTATTAACTTTTCTTCGACACTATGATAAAGAAAAAACAATGTCATTCATTTACCAAAAGCTTTTTATTTTCTTTTAAGGTGGTGGGGTCGGGTCTCACTATGTAGACCTGGCTGACTAGAACTCACTAGGTAGATGGGCTGTCCTTGAACACACAGAAATCCTATTGCCTCTGTCTCTCTGTATAAAAATTATCAAGGTACAAGAAATTAGAGTCAGTGGTCTCATATCTCAGAAGCATATACATGAAAGACAGCATGAATCAACAAGCCATCAGAGTATTACAGTATACATCAGGGAGAACTCCATCTTTCCAGTTCAAGGGAACAGAATCAGCAGAAAGCGAACCTTTGCAGTTTTGGAGAGTTATATATACTTCCTCAATCTAGCTAAATTAAAAGATTTTGCAATCAATTGGGCCCATATCTACAAAGAGAAAGGGATAGGAAGGTAAGGTAAGTTTGAGGAAAGAAGGAGGGTGGGGAAGAAGAAAAGAAGAAAAGAAGGAAAAAAGGGAGGGAAGAAATAAGAAAAAAAGACAAATCTCAAAACATCTACACAACAGGAGTTGATAATCTTTGCCAAAGGACTACATGGTAGCTAACTCCACCTTTGCATGCCACACAGTCTCTATGGCAACTGTGCTGTTCAGCTGATCTCCGTTTCCATGATCAGCTCTGTCCCTATAGAACAAAAGGAGCCAGCCACAAGTGACAGTGTCTAAACAAAGGAGCATGACTGTATTCTAAAATCCATTGTTTACAAAGTAGGCCTTAGCCTGATTTGGCCTACATGTAACAATGTGCCAATCCCTATTTTAAATAAAAGATGGTACATGGGAACAGATTGATGGAAAACATTAAGAACCAATAAACCATTAAAGAGGCCACAGGGAAAATAGAACACGCTCAGCAGGACCTTAACTACTTAGAATAAAACTGCTAATTTCTCATCCTATTTTTCACTGTAAAAAGTGAAAAATAGGATGAGAAATAATGAAATGAAAGGTCCACAGGAGACAAACTGCACTAATTTGTGGCCCCCACCCTGCCCCAATTTCTTCCCATCAAGATAGGTTGCCAGAATTTAATGACAGACAGAAACTAAGTTCTTAGAGTTCCTCTCTAAAGAACTAAATGAGCAAACTGAATTTAAAAACAGTTGACACTGAGACCTGGCTTTGGTAGGCTAAGGCTGAGATCCTAGCAGACAGCCTGAGAGGGTGGGTTCTGACCTCCATCAGTATAGCAGCTGTGATCTCAGCAGACCAACACACAGTGCCTGGTTTTGGCCTCCCTCTGGCATAGGGGCTGAGAACACAGCAAACCAATTGAGAGTCCCAAAATCACCCCTCCCCATTAGGGAATTTCCCAAATTTTCTCTGAGGTCCTGCTAATAGAGGTACAAACCTTAGAAGGAAGCCTGGATGTACCTGACTGGAACCTGACTTTGGCTTCTGTGGAGGCTCCTGAATAGCTGATCTGTAGCCATCAGTTCCCTCCAAAACAAAACCTGAGAGAACCTGAAACCTGTGCCAACTATCTATACATAACCAATAAGGAAAGGATTTTCACACCCTAATAATACAAACAGAAGCATACTTCAACTGAATCTTCAATTTAATTCTCATATCAGAATCATAAACAACAAAAGAAATTCACATGACAAAAATCACAACAAAAGAATAATGGAAAGCCAAAACACTATGTCCCCATCAAATCCCACCAATCTGGTAGAAGAGTTCTACAAGGAGAACCCCCTAGAGATTACCGAGGACACCGAATTTAAAAGAACAATCATAAACATGATGAAGGAAGTTAATGAATTTAAAGAACACACGAACAAACAAATCAAAGAACTAAAAGAAGATAGGGAAAAACTTCTGAAGAAATTCACAAAAGAGAAACATTGAAGAAAACCCAGGCAGAAATGAAGAAGGAAATGCAAAACTCAGTAAGCCAACTTAAAACAACAGGGGGAAGCCTCACTACTAGAATGAATGAAATGGAAAACAGAATATCAACATTGGAGGATAAAGCTGAAGAACTGGACCACTCAAGCAAAGATTATGGAAACTTTTTTAAAACACAGGAATGGAATATGCAAGAGATGTGGGACACCATGAAAGACCAAATCTATGTATCATAGGAATAGAGGAAGGGGGAAGAATTTCAGGTTAATGGTATTGACCAGATCAGAAAAGAAACGCCCCACGACATATCATAGTAAAAACAGTGAAACTGGCAAAAGAAAAACAACAAGTCGCATACAAAGGAAAGCCCATCAGAATTACAGCTGACTTATCAATGCAAGCTATGAAAGCTAGAAAACCCTGGACCAAGGGATACCAGTTCTACATGACAATAGATGCCAGCCCAGAATACGTCATCCAGCTAAAATGTCTACTACAGCTGAGGGGGAAAGAAAAATTTTTGATGACTCAAATAGCCTGAAAGAATACATGTCCACAAAACCAACCCTTCAAAGAATACTTGAAGCAATACAGAGAACAGGGAGAGAAACAACTATACTCCAGGGGCAATGAAAGAAAATAAATAAAGGTATAATCGACAAGAACACAAACAGCAATCAAAATGATGGCAACCAATAGACATCTTTCAATAATAACCTTAAATATCAATGGACTGAACTCCCCAGTCAAAAGACACAGGCACTATCTTAAGGTAAAAGGATAGAACAGAATATTCCAAGCAAATGGCAGTATCTGACAAAATAGACTTCAATGTAAAACTAATCAGAAGAGATATGGAGGGTCACTTCATTCTGATCAAAGGAACAATTAACCAAGAAGATATTACAATCCTTAATATGCATGCACCAAACTTAAATTAACCAAGAAGATATTACA